ATACGCTACATCCTAGATAGAAGAGGGATATCCTAACGATAGCGGTATGTTGCTATTTTTATCGACATGGACCCGTTGACGTACAATCTCTTCCGAAAGAACCCGTGCACTGAACTGCCAAAATATTAATACCTTGTAACTCTCTCTCTCTCTCTCTCTCTCTCTCTCTCTCTCTCTCTCTCTCTCTCTCTCTCTCTCTCTCTCTCTCTCTCTCTCTCTCTCTCTCTCTCTCTCTCTCAACGAGTAATTTTGAGCAGATAAACTTAAGTGCACATAATGGGTGTGTAGAGAATTTGTCGACTATAGGTATGTTGAACCGTGGCTGTCCTGTTATGGGAACATTTTAGATACATTAGTTTCCCTAAATTACCAAGATATGAGGATTTGTTGAATTTAAGGGGAAACTGTAGTTTTGGGTGGAACAGTGTTCCCAGGGCTCACTCAATGTGCAGCATTGGACAAGAACCTACTCTTTTTCGAATATCATTGGGAGGTATCTTTTAGCCACAATGTTGTAATTCTCCTAATTGGGACCTCAGTTTTCGGTTGTGGGAGGAGACAGTTTGTTTCATCCACTGGATGATCCAGGATACTTTATTTCTGTTTTTGTACCTGAAGCAGATGTATTTTTGTCAACTAATAACATTATTCTTCTTCTAAACAGCAGTGCAAGAATATCTTTCTTTTCTCAAGATATTAGTGGAGAGGATATTTTGTTTCATAAAAGTCCCAACTATCCCCATGCTTGAAAATTAAGTCCAACAGCTGGTACAATGTTTTAGCATCTATCCACCAATGATGCTTATACATTAATCCTTATACACAATTCTTCTTGTCATTAAGCATGGATCACCACTATTCTAGTCCAACAAATTGGTGCCAAATTTATATAGTTTAACTTTTTATAAAACAAACCACTCAGAGAGACCATTTAGCAGCTGTTTTTATGATCAGATAGCCCTTTATATACTGGTAAATTTGTACGGATTTATGGGGGCCAGGAATTTGCATGAAGATGGTTGCTAAGCAGTTTTGATTAAATTTATATTAATTGTAAAAAATTTTGTGTCCATCATTTTTTGAGCTTACGTGGCTACAAGGTCCCTGAATGGTCTGGTTTTCATTTTCCATCAACATAGCTATGATAAACATCTTAAATACTCTGTCACAGTTTAAATCAAACTTGGCAGGATTGTTAATGAGGATATCTCCTAACAAAATTATGTATCAGGTGTCTACTCTGGCAGTGGTGTGGCATCCATAGTGTCCATATGGAAATCTAATTTGTGGAATGGCTGAGTCAGTTTTGATCTGGCTTAGTTATGGATTGGCTTTTCCAGGGTGACTTTTCTAGTAATGACTCTTCCTTAGCAATCTCTAGAATGGGTGGGTCAGTTCTTATAAAACATTGTAGAACTATTTCTCAGCACATTCTACCAGAACTATGGTTGAAATTGCACTCCTAGCAATAGTGTGGCTTCTGTAGCAGTCATATGGATACAGCTGAGATGATTTTGATCAATTGTTTTTTAGGTTATCCTCTGCAAGATATTGGTATGTGGGGCAATCCAATAACATGACTTCAATTTAAGCCATATTTTCAGCTTGTGTTTTAGAGAACACTACAGTTGCCTAGTAGGTAGAGCATCCACCTCAGATGTGGGTGGTTGAGGGTTTGAACCCCAACTGAGCCATACCAAAGACTTATAAAAATGGTTATAACAGCCACCTTGTTAGACACTCAGCATTAAGAGGATAGTGTTAGGACTGGTCAGTCTGGTGTCAATATAATGTGACCGGGTGGGACATCATGTTTATTGTTTGTGGCATAATGTCCCATACAGTGCTCGACATTACTATAAACTGCCACACTGCTATATGACTGAAATTTTTTTGAAGCTATGTTAAGAATCCAACTTACACACACTCTTTTTTAGAATGGCTTAGATAGTTCTGATTAATCATAGTTTAAAAAATTATTTTTCTATGCTCAAAGCAAAGGTTCCAATATGATAGCCCTATCTACACCTTGGAAGATCAAACATATTTTGGTGTTTTTTCCTAGCAAGATCTTTTTGATTTCATGAGTTGCCTCTCTTAGGATGTAATGCCAACTAACCTGTCACATGGTGAATTGTACATCAGCCAAAATGGTGGAGGCAATTGACTTAAATAGGAAAATTTGTAAGTTTAACATTGAAAGTATAACCATGTACCAGAGGGAATCTATTACAGGTGTATTTGGATGAAGGTATTTGTGCAAGTATGGACTGGCAGTGGAAAATTGCTTATTTATCTGTTCATTTAAGTTGTGTGTTCCCCTTGTCTTGATCATATAGGAACCGGGTTCAAGTTTGAACAATATAATTTTGATTGGCTGTGGTAAATTGATGCTGCATCCAATGAAATTCACATACCTTAGCACATAAATATCTGCTTGATATGCCAAGGGGTTGATAGGGTTATGATATTAGAACCATGGCTAACAAAGATGGTCCACCATTAGGTGGGGCATATTACAATATGATGTTCATTGATTTGCCTGTTAAATATTTTGTATGCAAAATAACTTGAGTTTTCCACCATCAGCAGTTGCCAACTTTGTGGATGGCTTGTACTTGGTGTAAGGAAGAACACTATTGATTTAGAGAAAAGGGTCAAGGGTCAATATCACTGTGACTAAAAAGGAAAATGGTTTCTCTAGCTTGAGTTCACCACCATATATGTTTATGCACATTTTGTGGTCATCTTGCACTTGGGTAAAGAAGAAGCCTATCAATTATGGGGTGAAAAAACCAAAGGTCAAGATCACTGACTGAAAAAAGAAAAATGGTTTCCTCACAATAAATTGAGTTCTCCTTCATCAACATTTACCTGACTTTGTTGATGGCTTGCACTTGGGGTAAGGACTATTGGGGTTGAGAGATCAAGGATCAAGGTCACTTGACTAAATGATTCAGCATGGTTTCTGTAAAAAAAAGTAAGCCTACATCACATATCTGGACTAAATGGATGGACTGCACTTGTGGTAAGGAAGAATCCTTTCAATTTTAGATCAAAGGTCAAGGTTACTGTATTTGAATAAAGACAAATGGTTTCTGCACAATAGCATAGGCTCTGTATCACAGACCTAGACCATAGATTGTGGATGGCTTGTGTTTGGAGCAAGGAAGAAGCCTTTCAATTTTAAGGTCAAAATATCCAAGATCAGGGTTACTATTGAAGAAGAAAAATGTTTTATGCAGAGTAAGATTGGTTTTACATAATAGAAATTGATCAAACATTGTGGATTGCTTACACTTGGGGTAAGGAAGACACTGAATGATTTGTTGATATCATGTCAAAGGTCAAGGTCACTAAAGAATAAAATACAATGTATTTTGCAAATAATTTAAGTGGTATACATTGAAGACTTGTTAGCATATAATGTATTATTTATGTCACTCTTTTTAGGATATACTATACCGCTGTACTAGGCTTGTGTCTGGGGTAATTAATCTAGTAGTGGTGTGGCTTACTTTACAACTAGGTGGAAAACATATTTTAATTTATTTCCATAATGGTTGAACAATTTTTGTCAAATTTGACAAGATTTTTCTTAAGAAATGCGGTACCATTAGCCATAATTATCTTAACAATGACATCAGGCTTTCGGTATATTGCCCTTTTTCTATTTCTCCCCTTGAATGGTAACTAGCATAAAGGCCATTCAGTATTTTATAAGTGGACTGTATACCATATGTACATGCTTTAAGATGAGTCCACCTGTAAACTGCACAGTTGCAAAGCTGCTGTTGTGTAATGCTCTGGCAGAACTGCAGTTTGAGTAATTAGTAGAACAAATAACATATATACTATAATCTGCAGGTGCATTATGATACAGCAGATCAGGATCTTTGTTGTTTGTATTTTGACTTGACTTATAAGCAAGTCTATACACTATGTGTCATCTAATAAGGATGACAATAAAAAAATATGGAAATATATTAATATGTATTTTCATAACATATGCAATCAAAAGTAATGGAGGAAATTTCAACAGAAGGCCTCCTGGTGACCCAGATTTCTTAGCCAAATGCATTTGGCAATTAGCTAAATGTCAGTCATGTGACCAGTCTCCCCAATATCAAGCCACAGAAGCAACTTCACTACTCTCTCCTTTCACCCCAGGCTTTCCACAATAAGATTCCCTTGTTTCTTATGAATATGCAGAAACAAAAATACATCCTCAGTGAGTCAATGAAATAAGCACTTAATGGAAGTGACTATTTATCAATCTGTAAATGACAGTGTTTTGGAAGAAGATATCTGATTGACTCAATCAGTCAGCATTCAGAGTCATGTTGGGTGAATGTTCCAAGAAATATGCTTATCAGCAATGAGGAAATTTTATCACAGCTGATAAAGAGAGAATAGTATATTTTTTCCCACGGTTTGTGATGATGAGTAATCTCAAGATTCCTTGGGCTTTTTGGAAGGGAAAGGGTTAACAGCATAAAATGGTAATGTAGCATGGGGTAACAGCATGGTAATGAAGCATGGGGACTAATTTCATTCTTCATCAATGTTGTATGATAGGAACTACTAGGTATATTAATAAAAAGGAAGAAGTGACCAGTTCTTGTCATTAGAATTATATTCACAGAGCTGCATTATATATCATCCAGTTGCTGTATAGATAAGAAAATACATAACATATTTATTATTAAAACAATATATGTAGCTTTCGATTGATAGATTTTGTCTTTGTTTATATATTAAATTGTATTATGTGATGGTGACCAAGATTATGAGAATCCTAAATCTTCAATTGTGCTTCTGGAATTCCTTTTTCCGATGTATATTTGAACATATTTCACATGGCACCAGAATGCCAGAATTCATAAGTGCCAGCTTTTTGAACTACTAGATTTTACAGATTAAACTATTCAAGCTGTTTTCCCTGAACTCTTGTGTATATCACATTCTTTCACATGCTACAGTGTCTTAAATATCATACCGACTGTTCCGGTGGCCTAGTGGTTAGAGCGTCTGCCTCAGATGCGGGATGTCACAAGTTCAAACCCCAGGCGAGTCATACGAAAGACTTTTAAAAATGGTACTAACAACTGCCTCACTTGGTGCTCAGCATTTAGAGGATAGTGTTAGGACTGGTCGGCCTGGTGTCAGGATAATGTGAACGGGTGGGACATCATGCTGCATGTCTGTGGCATGATTCTCCAGTGCTAGACAACTGTAAACTGTCACACTGCAGACATTGTAGTGATATGACTGAAATTTTTTTAGAGCTACGTTAAAAATCTAAATCACACATTACACAAATATCCTTCCAAGTTTATATACACTCCTACTTTTGGCTTGAAGTTATTTCAAACACTTTGTCTAATGTCATAGTGTTCTACCAGTTGTCTTACTAATAATAGTAACAAACTTTATGATCTTGCTAAAAGTAGTTACAAAGTACAGATCCACTGGATTATCATGTGAATTTTTCAATGTCAAGGGAGGAAACTCAAATTTAGGTAAATTATTAGACCTGATAGTAGATATCTTCCATGGATATTGTTCCACAGTTGTTAATACTTAAAACAATAGTAGTTAATGCTTTTCAAAAGGAAATGACCATAATTTCATAAACTATGTTTTAAATATTAATGCAGATTTTTTAAGTGGCATATAAAAGAAAGAAAATTTTAAATAATAACATTTTAATTATTTTGAGCAATATGACTGTTAGTAAATAAACCACGGATAGCAATATTTCTGAGATTATGTTCTTCCTCTCTATCTTACTATCTTATATTAATAGAATCTATGCTGATTTTTGCACAGAAACAAGAAATCCAAGTCAAGGGGTTACATTATTTGTCTCCCCACAATGCTATGACAGGTTGTGAAGAAAATAATGTAAGCCCCAACTGTGATTTCCTTGTCTTAGTACAAAAACCAACATATCAACATAGGTTATATTTCTCATTTAATTTTTGTCCATTGAAGTTAGAATAATCCTGCACTTTTGCTGTATAATTAGTGAATTCAACATTTAGTATTCATCATGAACTATTATTGTCTCACATTTCTATATAGCTTATTCTGTTTTATAAAACTCGAAAAGATTATTTCTGCAGAATCTAGCTATTTCTGCTGCTCTTAGAAAAGAAGAAAAGAAGAAGAAGAAAAACCAGTTTTAATTGTTACATGTTGTAAATATTGTACCATGAGCATCTGGAGCAACATGCTGTTTTTGTAAATATCATACATTAATACAAGTATGTTAATGAGGGCAGTAGGATGGTCATTGGACTGTAAGTACACACATTCTACTCATTGGACCATAAGTACATTCTACTCATTGGACCATAAGTACACTCATTCTACTCATTGGACCATATTTACAGACATTCTACTCATTGGACCATAAGTACACACATTCTACTCATTGGACCATAAGTACACACATTCTACTCATTGGACCATTCTACTCATTGGACCATAAGTACACGCATTCTACTCATTGGACCATAAGTACACACATTCTACTCATTAGACCATAAGTACACACATTCTACTCATTAGACCATAAGTACACACATTCTACTCATTGGACCATAAGTAGACACATTTTACTCATTGGACCATAAGTACACACATTCTACTCATTGGACCATAAGTGCACACATTCTACTCATTGGACCAAAAGTACACACTTTCTACTCATTAGACCATAAGTACACACATTCTACTCATTGGACCGTATGTTCACACATTCTACTCATTGGACCATAAGTACACACTTTCTACTCATTAGACCATAAGTACACACATTCTACTCATTGGACCATAAGTACGCACATTCTACTCATTGGACCATAAGTACACACATTCTACTCATTGGACCATAAGTACACACATTCTACTCATTGGACCATTCTACTCATTGGACCATAAGTACATGCATTCTACTCATTGGACCATAAGTACACACATTCTACTCATTGGACCATTATACTCATTCTACTCATTAAACCATAAGTACACGCATTCTACTCATTGGACCATAAGTACACACATTCTACTCATTAGACCATAAGTACACACATTCTACTCATTGGACCATTCTACTCATTCTACTCATTGGACCATAAGTAGACACATTTTACTCATTGGACCATAAGTACACACATTCTACTCATTGGACCATAAGTACACACATTCTACTCATTGGACCATAAGTACACACATTCTACTCATTTGACCATAAGTACACACTTTCTACTCATTAGACCATAAGTACACACATTCTACTCATTGGACCATAAGTACACACATTCTACTCATTGGACCATAAGTACACATTTTCTACTCATTAGACTATAAGTACACACATTCTACTCATTGGACCAAAAGTACACACTTTCTACTCATTAGACCATAAGTACACACATTCTACTCATTGGACCATAAGTACACACATTCTACTCATTGGACCATAAGTACACATTTTCTACTCATTAGACCATAAGTACACACATTCTACTCATTGGACCGTATGTTCACACATTCTGCACATGAGAAAACAAACATAAAAACAATAAATATTATTACTATTACAGTATTAACTCATTTAAGCAGTGGATGTTATATGAAAATAACAATAAATAATTATTATATTCGATAAGGATAACTTTTACGTTTTATCAGTTCTAATTTGGACAAGTTATATACCCATGGTATGATACAAGTACACAGCAATAATCAAGTGTGTAATGACAATTGAGATTTAAAAGTCATGATTTTCTTGCAAATTTATATTTTATGTCCTAGAAATATGGCAAGTGTTGCTGTTACTTATGCATTGATATGGAAATCTTGTGGAATAGTGTGAACTACTCTGATTCCTATGTGCAGGAGTTTACATTCATTGCAATTAAGTTATTGTGTTTGATTTAACTGGGGCAGAATGGAGCTTGTTTGTCAAAGCTTGAAGAAAGCATGTTGGACATAACACTTCTCGTTGTTGCTGACTCTGTGTTTCCACTTGGGATAGTTCGAATTTTTTAAGCCAGTAATGTGTATAGCATGTGTCAAGAACAGTGTATTTTTTAGTTTCTAAATATTTTCTCGTGCTTGAATTTATGGGTGAGAAAAATCAGTATAGCTTCAACCCTCCAAACATTAGTATTCTCAATACTTTGCTTCAGTTTTTTTTTTTTTTAAATTTAAATTATGGCACCTTTGCATTCAAGTCTTTTCTGACAATAGCTCTTATAGTGATGTTAAAAAAAATGACAGGGACAGACTGAATTGATAAAACTGACTTACTACATGGTCACATGTCAAAAGATTTTGTTCGATTATCAGGCAACCCTCTTTGGTCAATATAGTGGACTGGATGCCAGGGCAGTAATATGGACCTTGATGTCATGATTCCCAGGGTCATGGTGCATTTCACTGAGTTTGTGATATTTCTTTATGGGGAAAGGGGAAAGTCAACTGTCACGAAGGTTGCCATTTTGTCCATCACAAACTTGTGATTGCACATCTGGAGGTAAATGCAAAAAGGGGAGAAATAAATTTGTTTCCCTTTAAAGCACAAAGCACAAAATTTTCAGTTAAATTTAAGCATCGATCTCTAATCAGTGATAACATATTCTTCCTAAAAATGATGTTACTTGTAAAGAGCAGGCAATATTTTGTCTGAAAAGTAGGAGCAAGTTACCTTTAATATAATTTTATTTTGTGAAAAACTAAATGGGTTATACATTTCATGCCATTGTTTGTCCACTCCAATTTCTCTTTTCTAACATTGATTGTTTTGCTACTCTCACTTAAACCTTTAGAAAATTTCCAGCTAAATCTTTTGCAATGTGTTCCAACTGAAATATTTTATCTACTCCAAGAGTTAACAAATTTATGTAAAGTTTTTAAAACAGATTTAATGTCAGTATCTATGTTTTGCCCTGAAATTTACTGGTATTTTAAAAGATATGTTTCATTCCATCATTTTTACATATTTTAAATAATGTGTGATGGACATTTAATTTGAGAATGTATTCAAAGTTCATAATATTTAAATATATGGTCTAATTTTAATAGTCTGTCTGCTATTCATATTGAAGATAGTTGTTACTTTGTTATTAAAGTGACAATATATAGCATAGGGTCAGTTTGTGAGAAACCATATATAGTCTAAGGTCAGTTTGTGAAAGTCTTGGACTGACAGTACAGCTGGTTTTCTCAAAACAAAGACATCAAGGTGAAGATAAAGAGCTGTATCAGTCTGTCATGTTTAACTATCAGATTTATAAGTAGACTAAACTATTATTTGCATATGAAGGTGTTGATTTTAGTTTGCAAATATAATGTTTATACTTGCTTATAAGACCAGTAACTGCAAACTGAGCATAATACTAAGGCAGATCTGGGTGTGTGCAGTTTGTTTACATTAATTAGTAGAACAACCAACATAGACCCTGATTTGCAGGCACATTATGCTATGGTTGATCATGATCTATGTTGTTTGTAGTTGGACTTGTAAGTGAGTGTATATGGTAGGCGCTTTACATGATAGAAGGTCATGTAGTATCATTGTTCTTTCTTTTAGAAGGTGCTTTCAATGCTTGATAAAATTTGCTAAATATTAATTTATTCTCTGTGGGTTCTTGAATTATTTGCCCATGAACCACTACCACTGGATTGGGTAAGGACTGTCCTTTTTAGTTTCTGTTGTAAGATCAGGGTGGATAATATTTTTACTTGACAAGCTATTCTGAATTGCAACCCAATATTCATTTATTCACTTTATTTTTGATGAGTTTTCATTTCATTGCATTTTTTCTGAGTTTCTTTTGCAGACTAAAATATTATATCATCCTGTATTATAATACATAAATGGACACAGCTAATTTGAAATTTGAAAAAACCTCATGCCAGCAAATGTAATAATGTTTACATTTGACCTCACATTTCACCTTTTATACCATGCATTGAAGATTTTCTGTTGTGAAATGGTTCTTGAGTGCCTTTTTATATAGTGTCACTGTATAATACACTATTTTAAAATGTTAGTAAATTTAA